CTAACATTTTCCCTATTATGCTTCTTACTTCCATCTAACCTTGTTATTTGAAATATAATCTCTTTTCTGTTCAACCGTGTTCTGATTTGAGGGCTTGTCGAGTGAATCGGCTCCCGAGAATGCTAAGCAATAGGAATAGCTGGGCTATAACCGTAAGATAGAATTATACCACTAGTATACCCATGAAGTTCCCAAGATATCCTGCTTCTAAGGAATCCTTGAGAAGTAAACAAGATCTCACTGGTAAAATAGCACATTTATAATAGTGATGAGAAGTGCCTGTAGTATGATCAGTCATGTATAACGGAGCCATCCTTCCTCTATTCTTACCGGGTTCTTCGCTGATGTGGACCCTGTCATCAATGATTTAACCCTCACCGATTAGTCTCCTAATCCACAGGTACGTTCAGATTGGAAGACCATTTAGCTATTGTTCATTGTTCATTCACTGATTCTACAAGCCCATACATTGGATCCCTGTTTTTGCAGGCGTTTCAATGCCTACAACAACCTGCCCACTGAACCAAGCGAACGAAGGTTGGTAGATGGAAACACTAAACTATCTGGTCATGGGACTTCGGTTTCTGATTTCAAGACATGTGTAGGTTTAGTCGGACGTCTAGCTGTCTAGTTCCGATCAATGCTGGATATGCGTCTCCAACTTTGCAAACTGCAGTTTTAATCGCTGTATGTAATCAGCAGTGTTGCACACCATATCGTGTCGAGCTCACTAGAGAAGAGACAAAGAGTAAGTTATGAGTTGACAGTACGGTTATCCATGTCCGCATAGTATATATATACATGAACAAATAATAGGACCTCATGGCCTTTATCATCATTTTAAGTCGGGCCGGAAAGCAAGAGGGGAAATGTGTCAAATAATGTAACGCTCAGGCAAGCGTCAGCGAACAAGTCCCCCAAAAAGTACACGAATATGCGCGCGAATACTGCAAGATAACAAAACAGTATCACATGGGCAAAATGTTTTCGGTGCTTTTATCGAAAATATATGAAAGCACATTAATAAAATCAAGTTTTTTGGGTGTTGTATTGTAATTAAGTGTGTAGCGGTAAATAAATTCCCAAAATAAATAATTCTTTAAGTCTTCGACATTTGATAGTGTTCTCACTAGTTTTATTGGGACTGACCTGGCTGAAGATGACCGTTCACGCATCCGCAACAGATCACGAATGGGTACACCGTGGCGTTACTGACCAGCAAACATGATGGTGGGGAGATAAATTCAGTCCACCCATGTCTGTAGAGAAGAACAATTTGTTTAATTACGGCTCCTTATGGTTTAGTGGGATGTCACGAACTTATAGTATTGATGCTGATTTATCACGCAAAATACCTCTTTAAATCGTGTTACGAACGTTGAATTGGTTTCACTTCCTACCCAGTAATCCTATTACAAGCAAACCAGACAATTCGCTAATATATGAAGCCTACTCAAGACCCTATAATACCTGAAAAAAATAATAACAATACAAAAAACCGAAAGGGGCTCTAACAGCTTCGATAATAAAAGGAAGATAGCCAACTGCATATCACACTACTGTTTCTAGGACTATATTTTATTTCATAACCACACATAATCCCATACTCTCAGCTCCTTTCCGAATCGCCTCCATTTGTCAGTTGTATGTCCACTAACACCTTATTAACACTTATTTTATTTAACCTATTAAAATGCTCTTTCTTAACAAATACCTTATTAAAGGAAAATTAGACTGAGTAATCATACCTTAAACACTCCTTCATGAATATCGGCTACTCTGCCTCTCGTCCTTTCTTTTACTTGCTCCCTCTTTCTGCCTCCTTGTGATATGGAACAAAAGATTTCATCCTGCACCACCTCAAAGCCTTAGACATTCCAAAGGGACATAAGGTTGCGACATTTAGAGGCTTCCACCTTCAATGAACCTATCCTTGACCATTGGTTGCACATTTACAACGCAACTTTCATGAAGCGCGCCAACTGTGGTACTGATTAAAACCATCTACATTCATATCTTATAAATTATCAACCCAGGTATGTAATTTACTACAGTGGATATTGTATCATTTGTATCAATTTGATCTTGCCTGTAAACTGGCATGCCTCATGTAACAAACTGTTATTTGAGAATAAATTATTATTATTACTATTATTATTACACATCTTCTGCAAGTGTTAGTCAACTTGAATCGGACGCTTCTCAAGATATAGATAGTCTTTCAAATGCATCGTCGAACTTCTTCGTTTCTGACTTCTGATTTGACTGCTTGGTATACTTTGATTATAAAGGTGTTATTGGTTAGTGTGCTATTAAATTCTGAATACTTGTGGTATCATTTAGTGTATGTTGAAGTCATTATAGAGGAGGTTTTCTCCTAAGTACTTACTGGTTTTGCCACATTTATTTTTCTTGAACAAACCACTAATTGAAGGTATTCCAGATCTTCAATTAGGTTGAAGAAACGATCTTCAATAGAGTTTCGACCTCCAATATACGTATTTTCCGTGAAATGGACTCCAGGATGATTGAAGTCACCTAGAATCAGGACATCAGTGAATTCGAGACGAGTAGAGTGGGATAATCCTTCCAGCATATGATTGTCGTACCCGATGTCAGCAGACGGCTTCCTGTTGGTGACTCCAACTAGACACCTCGAGGTGGTAGACAATTTTACTGAGCGTCATACAGATTCGCCAAGATTGAAAAATTTGGTTGTACACTTGATGTATTTCTAGACAAGATCTTGTGTATAAGACTACTCCAACCCCATTCCGTTTTTTCTGTCATTGCGAAACAAAGATACCCCGGGTATTGCTACCTCCTGGTCCGTAAACTGAGAAGATATCCAAATTTCAGATATGCTTGTCGGATGAGCATTATTGGCATTTCTGAGTTCGTTTATCTCATCCATTTTATTCGGTAAACTCGTGGTGTTCATATATAAGCAGTTTATGCTTTTCAGTTTGGAAAGTATAAGCTTCCCCGCTCTGCTTATCTGTATAAGTCTTGTGTGAATGGACAGGTAACCTACCTACACAGTGTTTTCCGAGTTGGTAGTCCATGTCCTTTCATGTTTTTTATTATCTAGACAGTTCACAAGTAGGATAGTCAGCTTCAGTCCGCTCTTGTACTTGATTCTGGCATCGTATGACCTATCCGGATGCATACAGATTCCAGTCAGCAACCGGTGTCAGTTGACGCGAAATGCCTCGAGAATTGTAGCCGCTATATAGGAAAATAGGTAGGTAATTTTCATCAGCCGGGTCCTACAATTCTCGTTTTTCTTGGCTAATCTCACCACTTGTTGAGTAAATATGTTTTTGAGCTTCAATGACTTCTTGATGAATTTTTGTTCCTGAATATCAGAGTTCATGTGGTTAGGGTCGGTGTCTTCTGGTAGACCTTGCACAATGATATTTCTTCCGCGAAAAAACCTTTCGCAAGATTCCTTAGGAATGCTTCTGGTGAGGTTGCGCTCAGAATACAGTATATCAGGCAGTATTTTCACATTCCCACCCGATTTCAGTAAATGACTAGCCATTTACACATCCTCTACGTCCGCAGCCTTAGCAGGCGTTACAAGAAGTAGTCTTTGGTGATGTAAATGCTCGGAATCCTTTCACTGAGTGAGTTATGTGGCCGCCAAAGGCTCTATTTCGGGAAGTTCGGGCTTCCTGTTTAACTCTTCCCAGAGAATCCTGTTATTTTTATCCTGTAGACTGAGGGGAACGTCAGGGTTGTCCTTAAGGTTCATGATTATGAAAGAAGCACCGTGAACCATGACTACTTTCCCAGGTTTTTGGGTATGTTCAGTTTCAGGACCTTGTTATTTGGTGGTTGAGGCGCGTCTCCGATTCATATGCTCTTCGCTGACCGGTTGGACAGTCTTAAGAGTAGACTGTACGACCAAATCACCAGTTGATTTCACTACATTACGTAGAATGTCTTGCTTCTTAGACGGTGACGCCCGGTTCTCTTTATCTTTGTTGAAGGGAGTCCAATGGCTTACAATGCATTCGGTGATCCTATGCTAGGAGACTAAAGTTTGCTGAGGGAGTCTACTACAGTCGACGTTATGACCATGCTGAGATTTAGCATGTTCTCACTAGTATCAGTGCGTGTTCCGTCGATACCGGCGTTGTCGAGGTCCCCCTTTTCTTCTCTGAACACCTTTTTTCCCGTTTTAGGATTACCTATTTTCAGGTTTGCCGACAACTTTTTCAGCAGACCTGTCAAGAGAATGATGATATTGATCAGTAAACCCTCAGTATTCGTGTTGAATGAATCACACACCCACATACAATCCCACCTACTGAGTCTGTTGTAAGTAGTTACTGTAAGATCTGTGCGTGTTTCGTGGAACCAACCCTTGAAATTGTCACACTGCATGACAGAGGTAACAGCAAAACGGCATGTGGGTCGCTTGCATGTTTTCCTTGTGATTATGATGTATATTGTTTGATAGATCCTAGCAAAAGCCCCAGACCGTAAAACAAAAACAACAGCACACTAAAAACGGATAAAATGGATAAAACGGGTGGTACAAAAGGTTAGGATAAACTAAAACCAGCCTTGACATGAAAAACTGAAGAACCAAATAGCAATCTGAGGCGAAACCACAGTCAACTATTAACTAGGAAAAAATCCAAAAAGAAAAGCAATCTACCGAACATTCAGCTCAAGACAGATTCCTTAGAACAAAATGGTACTTTTGTTGTGTAAAAACACAACAAAAGTTTGAGCTACGTAAATCACGTTAGGACAAAACTTCCCATCCGTAAAACGTGCCTCAGTCAAACACTAATTTATGCGGGAATCGGGTTAAATATTGGTCTGAAGATGTCTTTGTTTGGTTTCCTTATATCCGCTAAAGCATTAGGCTTACATGGAAACGTTGCGGATAAATCCACTCACTCACTAGGCTTCTGCGTTTTGAAGGACTGAACCAATGGCGTAGGATTGGCGCCATACAAACATAACGCCATACCGTCCTAGCGATGGTTGATCGTGGTGGTGTGTCGGGTTCTCCCGTTATACACTCCAGATCGCGTGCTGATCGTCCTCGAAAAAGGTTGGGGTTGCGCACTTAATTCGTTTTGTCAAGTGTTTACTTTCATGCACAGCTAGCCATATCTTTCGTTTAAGAAGTCGCAGAAGTGCAACCCCAGGATGATTAAATAAGTACGAATGATTTATTAGTCTGATGTCTACATCAACCCGAACTTAAGTACCTGTATTGAATCTTTTCAGGCACCGAAATAGTAGCAGTGCCTCAAGTCGGACCAGTTCTCCTGGTTCCTTTTTAGTCAGTGAAATCAAACGCAATGGGCGGAATGAAGAGATTCGAAGGCGCGACGAACAGAGAGCTGAAGAGGACCGGATATTGTAAGTTAATCATAGCCAAGTTATGCCTTTTTTAAATGGTTCGAGTCTTTCCAAGCCCTATTTTCCCATGCTGCTATTAACATACTAGTCCCGTAGTTGATTGGCGCCAAGTACTAAGAAAGAAAAATCAGGGCCAAGCATTTGCTTGTTCACATTATGTAGTAGTCTAAGAAATGATGGCATCTAAATCCCTTGTGACCTAATAAGTCAGTTTACACGGTAACCTGTTAGTACTCAAGTGTGTGATACAGTCGAGGAGCATCCTGCGTAATTTCTTAAACCTAAGTGGTGTTTTATAAAACAAGTAACCTTCAGAAACTCTGTTACAAAGGGCGAAAAGTTATAGTGTGGACTCGGTGAAATATTCTAATTCATAGTTTTGAAAAATCTACGTCTTCATCCCAGTTCAAGCATCCATAAGTTCGTATCAAATGTATTAACACACTAGAAACTTCGGATATCACAAGTTTCCCTATTAATGCGTACTAGAGTTAACCCCAAATAGTTCTTTTGCTTGGTATTAAAATGAGTTTTATACAATACGATTGTTTTATATAGTAATTTTGCCTAACGACAGACATCGCAGTTTCATTATCTAGTTGCCAGCCTGTTTCACATCTTCGAATTAAATTGTTTGCAATCCTCATTAAGATTTATTACTTAATCAAACATTATCTTCAACTTTTATCGTTTTATAGGCGTCAACGGTGGGCAGAATCCAAACTTCTTGAAGAGGAAGTCGCTCGACGCCTGGAGCGTTACTTGGACTCTGAGCTTGCTAAGTTACTTGTGTTACGAAAAGTCCAGTTTAATGCCGAAATTGAACGACGAGTGGAGGCTGAACGTACTGAGGTATTACGTCGAAGAGCTGAAGAAGCTGAACGTAAAGCTAGAGAAGAAGCTGAGGCATTACAACGACGTGAAGTAAGTTTTCTTATATAACGTCTAACATGATGACTCGTTTTCCTGTCCCATTTGTCTAGATGAGGCTCTAAATAAATACAAAATCATTAGCATTACAGTTTAAACTACTAGACCATAAATCAAGTCTGAAAGGGTTAATAGCGATGTATGACCGTTCCGAACGAAAGTTACAAGCTTTAAAATAACTTCAATAATTGCGGCTGTCACTAAGGACGAAAGCAATTGTGATAATTTATAGTACTTAGACATCGTCTTTATAGTTCATGAGATTAAAAAATAACGGGTAGTTTGGAAATTCAAAAGACTAATCTCAAGTCAGAGGGATTAACAGTCAGGATATCAAGGTTGTATTTAAACTTAGTATCCAGTTCGTAGTCAGTCGTAATTAATGTATAGCTGGGTACACGTACGTTGATTCAAGTTGCCACATCACAGTGCAGTGAAATGAGCAGTCGGGTAGCATCACCACCCTAAGTTTAAAGCGTGGCTTATGCCTGAGTACGTATACCTGTACTTGATCACTGATTTAACGGGGATGTGAAAGTAATCAAATGAATTAAAGAACTTATGACGGCATAATGGTAAACCGGTTCGAGTTTTTACATAACTCAGAAAACAGTACGAAATTTTAAAATGCCTTACGTAAAAGAATATGATGTTACTCCAAAGGTTGATCTAAACTCACATTGAATCAAGCTGAATGCGCGTAACCAGTAGTTACTGTATTCTTTTTTTCAAAAGGCAAACTAGTATATGTCTTAATCAATGTCGCTTTTTCACTTTAAATCATGTTTCTTTGTCCACATAGGAAGAAGAAAAGCGACTAAAAGAGCTCAGTGAGCGTCTCGCTCAAGAGAGGGAACGGGAACTCGAAGAACAAAGACGCTTGGAGGTAAGTTTTCTCTTAGTGATGTTTTTGTGTATATTTTCGGAAGTTATGGGCGTAGTTTATTTAGACTAACGTGTCTTGTCGAAGTTATCAAAAAAGCGAGGACTTTTTGGGCAACTGTTTAACACCTACAAAAAGATTTGTTTTATCAGTTGGCACTTTTTTTAATATTTAGCTGAGCCGATCAGCTTTCTCTTACTGATTTACCGGAGGTCGTGAGCCGTCGACACTTGACCTCAGTACATTTGACCAATAAGCTTTCCGATTATCTTACTTTGTTTTTTGGTATTATAACGGTAAATTTGTCTCGGTTGAATTATAGATGTACTACAGTAACAGTTTTATCACATTCGTCCTAAAAGCTGAGTGTACAAAAATAGCTGATGTTTAGTTTAATGTCATCTTAAAACCGGAACCTTACGTCAATGAAAGTCACATTAGATTTAAATCTCATGAATTAGAGATTCTATCTTTATGCTCTTGAAATTTATTGTTAAACATTGGAGTATCTACTCTAACTCTATGGAATCGTCTGGCTTTCTTGGAACATAAAGAAAGTAATTTTTTATTAACTTTTGTGTATAGGAAGAAGCTGAGCGTAAACGATGTGAAGCAGAATTACGTGAACTTGAAGAACGTCAGCGACGCGAAGCTGAAGAGCTCCAACGTATTAAAAGAGAACAAGAAATTATTCTAAATAAAAAGCGAATTCGACCGAAGTTATCGTTTACACTAAAGAAGTGAATATGTTTCCAGATGTTTCTTTTCCCTCTTTCACGTTAAGTCTATAACTTTATTTTCTTTTTATCTTATTATGCTTTATTTTTCACATTTCATTATTTTCTAAAAATAAATAACTCGAAATACATGCACATATATATACATTCTGGTGACTTTCAACTGTTTATTTGTCGTCACATCTTGTGGAAAGACTCAAGTCTTATTAACCAAACATGTTTAGTTATCTGTGTATATACGTTGTGCTTCTCTCATTCTCGGTTGATTTCATTGTGTATTTGTGAATCCTTATACCAATTTTTCCTCGTGTTTACAGTCTTATTTTGTACATAAATTAAGTTGTTTTTAAAGTAATTAGACAAGTTGAAAAAAGTTCTGTTTGTGACCTCCTACTTTATTCCTTAGAAGATATTTTGTATTGTTAGATTTCTCTAAGCCCTTGACAGGAAACTAATTTTATTTGGTTATTTGATGTTAAAACATCCTAAGAACACTACTCACGTTTTTAGAGATAGTTAACTCATTTGAAAGGCACACGCAAAGTTCCGGCCTAACTTGTGATGTCTGGGGAACCAGCAATTTCCATGTACCAGGTGGGAGTATGACATTGATCGACTCGCCTTCAGATATTATTGCTCCATATTAAATTCAACAACAGAAAACTGTGGATCGATTTCTCACTTTAGTATGGTGCACTGCATAATGATCACTATCTAATATCACAGATCTGTTAATTACCTAGTGTTTTGTTAACTGTTTCGCCCTTACTCCGTATGTAGGATTTTTAAAAATAAATATTCGTATATTTGCAACTCTAAACTTAGTTATGTGAACTAGGATCTATTATAACATAGTGCATTTTGCTTCGTATTTACTCTTTACGACAATCTTCCGATCACACCGAATAAAATCTTGAATATCCAAAGAAAATGTCATTTATTTAGTATCGATAAAAACAAGCAGGATATCCGCTATCTTTGTTATCAGTGAGTTGCTATTAGAACTACACACTACACTGATTTTTTTGAAATAGGCAACAGCTCTAGTATAACTAAGCCTATTATTATTTACCACATTCTTCACCCTCTTGTATACTTATACAGCGGCTTGTCTTTGGTGAAAATTCGACTGTATCTAAACGTTCTTGAGTCACTGTCCGGTTGAAAATTGTATGTTACCACTAAATATGAGTATTGAAGCAGTTTTTCTGAAACCACGTGCACCATTCAAACTAGCTGCCTTCAACGTTCGCACACTAATGCAGATCGGATAACAGATAGTGCTGGCTATGTCTTAATATCGACGTGTGTTGTCTATCCGAGACCTGTATTCAAGACCCTTGTGAAGTACTACAAATTCGCTCTCCATCTGTCGCTTAGCTGTTCTCCAGAAAGTGCGTCCGACAGATATTGTAGTACTAGCCGGAGACTTGAATGCTCAGGTCGGGCGTCTAGGCACAGAAGAGAGTCGTTTAGGTGGCCGATGGGGACTCGTTGGTCGCAGGTCAGATAACGGGGACCGTTTACTGCAATTGTGCACAGACCACAATCTGTTTCTGGATAGCACTAACTTTTGGTACAGTCATCGCCGATGTGCATCCCAAGCCCGGACTCAGGTTGATCACATCGCGATCGGCGACTGCTGGCGTGGTTGTGTACAAGACTGCCGCTCCTTTTGGAGTACCTATCTGGACTCTGATCATGCCTTGGTCTGCGCCAATCTTACCTTACTTTTCAGTGGCCAACGGATTGATTTTAGCAAGCTGGTTGCAACTTCTGTTGCTAGTAAGTATCGAGCCGAGCTAGTTTCTAGGCTAGCTACCATTCCACCGAAAAGTATAGATGAGCATTGGCTGCAATTGCATGACGCCATGAAAATGGAGGGTACAGTCAGTTGTGGGTTCGCGAAACGTCCCGCTTATAAGCACTGGGTTTCTTCAGGCTCCTTACAACTCATTGGAGCCGATGATTGGAGACTCTTGGTGACATGGCTCAGAATCTATCACAATGTCGTCGGTGTATACACTCCCTGCCTTCCCTTAAACTAAGAGATTAAAATCACTTCATATCTTTCTTTCTACTAACTAATTCTTTCTTCCTGTACTGTATCCTTATATGCAATCTTTCTCCTATATATTACCACCTTTGACCTAACCATTCCTATGAATCCGGTGTTCATCTTGCTGTGCTAATGAGGTATGGCAACCTGGACCGATGCATATATGTGCCTGGTCCTACGTTGTAGCTGACTGACTGACGTCGGTCTTCTCCGAGTGACCGTGAGTTTGACCACAAACGAAGGATGTTACGTAAGGAAATTGGGCAAAGCTTGTGTAAGGACTGAGAAGCCTGGTGGTCGAAGCGTGCTAATGAGTTGGAAGCAGCAGCTGCATCTGGTAATTACCGGAAGCTTTTCCAACTCATCGGAGCCACTGCAGCAAGAAGTCTGGTGTGAGCAAAACAATCTGGGAGGATGATGGGATGCCAATCACTAACATCCATCGACGTCTTGAACGATGGGCAGAATTTTTCGAAGGACAGTTCAACTGGCCTGCTGCTCCGGCAACATCGGTCAGACTGTCCTGCCCTCCATGGCCGGTGGCGACTGATCCACCAAATGAGGCGGAAGTCCTCAAAGAACTCCAACTCTTGAAGCGTTACAAATCACCTGGCCCAAATGACTTACCTCCGGCTCTTTTCAAAGATAGTGGTGACTTTCTGACTAAGGAACTGACGACGTTGTTTACAAAGGTTTGGGAGCTAGAGAGTGTACCAACGTCATGGAATGAGTCGATAGTTGTCCCTATCTTTAAAAAGGGTTCACATCGTTCCTGTAACAACTATCGGGGGATAAGTCTACTTCCGATTGCGTCCAAGCTATTGGCTTCCGTTATACTTCGTAGGTTGTTCAAAACCTGAGAAAGACTTGACTGTGGCTTGAATTGTTCAACTATAATGGCTTTGGATTTGTCTCTTAACCAAACATCATAGTTTCGAATTTCAAAACTATGTTTCCGTGAATATCCAAATATGTTTTACTGTTAATAGTGTACACATATGTAAGGAATTTGTTTGTGTGTCTTTAATGACTAATGCCGTGAACAATATTGCTTAATTACCCAAATTAGCGATTACAGTCTGAATTTTTACCAACTGACTACTTTTTAGTGACTAAACATTTGTTAGCATTCATGAATCTGTCCGTACACCTTTCTAGCCGTTTGGATCATAAAATGTAGTCTTTCGACATGAGTGATAATCCGAGATGTAATAATTTGTTTTCTCAATTAATTAATAGTTCCATATTAATACAATTAACATCATTGTTATTATTGATTTTAAGTAAATAGTAATGAAGAATCTTGAGAAGAAAACTGTATTTCATGTTTTATCGTTTAAAACAAACTTTCTTTGTTAGTGTATGTCTAACTTCAGGAATTTGAAGAAATAATTCACCATTTGTTTTCATTAACTGACAAGATGTCTCTTGATATAACTGTTTACTAACTTCACGATGTACAGCTGTAACTATATCAAGAATACTTTCATTTTGTAATCCTTTATATAATCGTTTACATAATGCCTGAATATAAACAGTACCACCGGTTGGATCTCTTTGTGCACGGAAACCAGCAACAGTAGCATAACTTAGTAGAAAGTCAGCATAAGTGGGAATTAACTGTACATTATTCAGTTGAAGTGGTATAGAATTATGGAGTAAATTGTCTAATTTGAAACCGATAAATTTCGCATCAGAAACGGATAGTCTTAGATTTAAACTGGATGACTGATGTTGAATAAAATTATCAACATCCTCTTGATCAGTTAGATCATTTTTAGTTTGAGTAGTTTCATTTGATTGTTTCTGTATAACATAGCCTTTTTGATAGTCTTCACCACGACATGCTTGAATAAAGAATAATTTTGGTTTACCAGCTAGAGAAGGGCAATTATCAGCTGTAAATATGGAAGTTAATTCATGTATTGATAAAGAATTTCCATCAACTCCATATATCCGACCAATAGTTCCATGTGACATAAGGCATATTACTAAACAATCATATTCGTGATGATCTGTTTTCTTTCCTAAGTGTTCCAGTTGAGCTTGTATTTCACCAGCTGATAGATTACGAAGTAATTTCACCAAAAAGTTAAATGATCCGAAAACATTTTCCAAACTCTTCTCATCAATGTCACAGCCAGAACGATTCTGTAAGAAATGTGAAGAGAAAACATTATTGATTCTATCACTACGTTGAAATACCGTATAAGTTCAGTCAGATATTAAAGTGACTTAGACAGGGAATTATACAAAGAGTGGGATAAGGTACTATTAAATATCAGTTAAGTTTGATACACTTCATATTACAACAATCGTTAATACTGAGTGAATAACTGAAAATGTAAAACTTTGAAAGCTATTCTCTGTGAAATCAGTACTTATATTTTAAAATCCCATTTACTAAACACTTGGATTATGGTATTGCCACATTGTCCTAATTTCAGACTTTTATTTGCCTTATTAACCACCATTATATCTTTTACCACTTATGAATCAGTAATTTTTTCACAAACCTTTGACTGAGTTTCGTACCATAAATGTCCCAGTTTGGTACAAACAGGGTAGTACAATGTGCTCAGCTGATCATTCTGGCATTCTAATTCATAGATTGTGGGACAGATGAACGGTCTATCTTTTGACACACTAAGTGTTAGTAAACTCATACTGGATTTAAACAGAAAACAGATTTATAGTAATAACCAGAAATCAACAGATCGAATGTCAAAGAACTGATGATAATGATATCAAGAAAGTGAAAGTTCATTATCTTTAATATAGTCGGAAAAATAAATGGAACAAAAGAATGATAAGTATGAAATAAATTTTATGCTCAATGACTAATTCGATAAAATTTACTTGACTGCAATATTTTTCTGAGACATTAAATTGAACAATCTTTTCATCACAGATGAGCATAATTTGAATTATTTCCAAACATTAAAACG